GTAAATAAGGTTAGTGCACGTGATTGTTGGCGAGCTTGTAGGGTATAGCGTGAGGGTAAGCATTGGGGCTATGTCCAGGGCTAGGGTTAGGGTTGGGATTAGCGCTAGCTCTGTTTTCATCTCGTGACCTATGACGAAAAATTGAGCTGGCCTTATCATTTAGCACTAACCCTGTGCATCATATGATTTGAAATTAACTATACGCGTCATTCTATATTTTCAGGCTTCTAGGTGGTTTTCCAAGATCCAGTATTACTTGATACCAAATAAATCGACGTAAATATCCTAATGTTGTTGGAATAACATCAAACCATCGGCCGAAAAGGTGTTAATACAATACCCAGTACCGTATCATAGCAACGGATTAGTGACATCATATCTATATGCTACGTGTATTCATAAAACCACATAGATTATTGTTTATTCAACTATTCTTTAGTTTTTATCATTGGATTTTAATGTTATTTCAAGGTTGCTTAAAACTAACGGGTAAGGAAAAAAATTGTCAGACATGTTTCAATGTTTGAATCTTTTGGGTTATTTATTTGTTCTGTGATAGAAATTGTTTTTTGGGTATACACATTTTACTAGTACCAAATTTATAAATGGTCAACAAGAAAATTGAAATAACAAAGGGAGGAAGGCCATAAAGGGTCGGTATGAACAAACTAGTCTCTATCATCCAGATAGATGCGTTGTTGTCAACATTTGAGAGTCTCGGTCACCATTGGCTAGATTATCCGGCCATTTACACTATCATAAACAAAGTCTAATTGAGGTAACTAAAACACTAAAACAAGATTCTGACGCCCATGAAATTAATTTAAGAATGCCATTCAGGAAATCCATTTGATTGCATTGCCAGTTCAATATCCGCCACTCTTAATTCTTTTTATAGTAAAATTTCTCTCTATGTTGTTTTTTTTTTAAATTACTCCTAATTTGTCGTCACGATTCATGTTTGTTTATATTAATGCAAGAATTATGGGATTTATTGCGGGAAGGGCGCAACTCTTACTTGACTTGACCAAAGATACTGGATAATCAACCACATACAAAAAACCTCGGGTTACGCATGGTCAATGGAACTTCTCGTCAAATATTGACAACGTTCCCAGTTCTGGGTGACCGAGACTATGCACAAACTGACTAACCCTGGCGAAGAAGTTGTTAATGTCTATCAATGCGATAAGTTTGTTACATTTTAATATTAAAACTTATCTTTTTACACACAAAATAAATAGACCTACTTATTATCCTTTCAAAATAAATAATAAACAAGCTTTTGGTAACATTTACCAATAGTAGCCATCAACTGAGAGATACTAGCTGTCCCCAACCTTTATCGTTATATCTGCAACTGATACCACGATTGGAATAAAAACGTAATTTTTGGTCAGATTTTAACACGTGGGTATACAATCAAAAGGGGCAATGAAAGAAAACATCATATTGTGAGTTAATAATGTATTTTATTTTGGACAGTCGTTTCCAAGGTCAACGTGATAATGATACGTTCACCCCTGCAGCACTTTACTCTGACCCTAAAAAATGACACCAAAGGCGACATTAACAAATAGTCCAAATAAAGAATCCCCTTGAAGATATTTATCTAAATCGATCAACATAATGTTAAACCACAAGTTATGTTTAAAACAGATATTATATAGATATGGATATCCGTTCATTGTTATCATTCTCATATTCATCATTATTATGTAGGTGTATACATCTATTGTTAATTATTAATTTCAGTAATTAGTTGATCTAATTTTTCTGCTCTATAACATCTTCTAGTGTATATCTAAAATTTGTATTGACAATAAACTGCAGGATACTACTATATAGATTTTGGTTTCTATAATATTTCATCGTATGGTGTCGACCACAACTATGATTACATACGATGAAATTGGATCGTTTTTTTTTTAATTTTGTTTTAACGTTATACAATATTTGCGTTTGAGTTAGAAAGCGCCATGGCAATACTTCGATGTTTTATAGTGTAGAGGGAGCCACGGTGGCTAAGTGGGTAACACAGTGGCTCGCCAGCCTGCATTGAGGGGGGGGGGGGGGCTGGCAAGGACAGCTGTCTAGTCATTCGGATGAGTCGAAAATCCGAGGTCTCGTGTATGCATTGGCATGTACGTAAAACGTCCCTTGGCAGTTGGCAAAATTTCCCTCATAGCACAGTGTATGGCCTATGCCCGTCTTCATTACCCCAGTAGGACGTTAATTCCCATTCCATTCCGAGGAAAGGGAATTTAACGCCCACTCAGCACAAACTAGGTCATTGCGGGACTAACAATAATTGGTGGTCTTCAGCGAGGGGTGGGGTGGGGCGGAGTACCCGGAAAAAACCCGTGAGGCTGGGCAGGCGACCTTACTTCTTGGGATAGAAGCCATTACGGGACTAAAATATGATTCAATTTTATTTCAATAATTCGTTTGCGCGTAGTGGTCTTCAGCGTGAGGGGGGGGGGGCGGATGGGCTGGCGACCTTAGTTCTTGGGATAGAAACCATGATACTTAATTCAATAACATACATTGTAATCTAAAGCGCATGTGGTAGACTCCACTTCCTCCAACATAAATGTAGAGATCTGTGATAAGTGCTTGGATATAAAAATAAATGAAATGAAATGAAATGGGGTTTAACGTCCTACTGTTCTGCTCCTATCCTGGGCTAATGAAGACGGGCATACGCCATACAGTGTGCTATGAGGGAAATTTTGCCAGGGCAGCGGCACTATCGCCTACTCTTATATCGAATTCCAACTGCCAAGGGATCTTTTACGTGCATTCCAATGTATACACGGGACCTCGGTTTTTCGTCTCATCCGAAGGACTAGACAGCTATCCTTGTCAGGCCCTCCGTCCTGCATCACTGACAAGGGGGAACCACGCCGGAAAATCTGGATGAGATATAAAAATAAGATTGGAAACAAGAGTTAAACTTTTTAATTGTGTTATAATCATCAGTGTCCGACATCTGCAATTTAATCAATCTGATTAAAATACACATCTATATTTCGTTTCGGTTTTTTTATACTTTCCATGGCCTACACTACATGAAGATCTGACCGGTTGTAGCGATAGGTCGCGTCAGAGGTCATACGAGCGGCTTTTGACCCTATGACGTCACACGTTTTATTAACCAATCAGCAAAACACGCCTTAAGCTCGCCGTAACAGACCGTTTCATTGGCTAAACCCTCACACCATTCAGAACATGTCAATGATAACAACTCTTCCAGATCCTAGTGTAGTAACGACAAGTAAATTGAAATTTTGAACTATAAAAACGAAACGAAATAGGATCTGTGTTTTAATCAGATTGCAATTTAATTTGTGACCGACAGCATAACACAGCAGCAGCTCTTGGTTGGAAAATGTCATATATTTGATAAATGACATTGTTATGAACACCATCGGCAGGAAGAGCGTCCGTAGATGTGCGTGCACATAAAAGAACCCTTGACAGTTGGAATTCGAATTATGAGTAGTCCGTAATGTCGCTGTCCGGGCACAGTTCCCCCATAGCGAACTGAATGGCGAAGGCCCGTCTTCATTAGACCAGTCGTACAGAACATTTACTAGCCCTGCTGTTTTGAACACAACCTTCGATAAGTGAGTCATAGAAATGTCGAAATTTTCGAAAAAGTAAATGATTCATATTTCGAAAAATGCATTATCTAAGGAATGTCTTAGAGAAAATTGCGGAATAAATGGAAAAATGGGTTTTAGTCGTGCTGAAACTGTATTGACCACCAACAATCATATTAGACACCCGGGTTAAATACATCGGACTGAACATACAGACTGTGGATCCATAGACTGATATATGTAATGGAATATTAGCGAAGAAGGCTAGTGATTGGTTCCAGCTAGGGTGATTTTCCTGACAAAACTCCCTATCTTCGAAATCCCACTTAGTAATTTAGCCTCGCATGTAACTCCAGGGTGATTTCATTTTCTGTGACAACCACCAAGATTGAAATCAAAGAGTGAGAGATTGACGTATTCCCTATGCTGGTCTCGTTGAAAAAATTACCGGATGGATACAAACTTGCATGTAGCCTATGGTTCCCCTCCGATCTTTCTGGTCATGGTCCTTCGTGTGCTGCCCGGGGTTGGTGTTGTCCGAATGACTTAACGAGTGCACATTAGATCATAAGGTTTGTCACTTAGCCTTTTGGCGTGGGTTCGATTGACAGCTTAAATAGGCGAACAGCCTTCCTAGATTTCTCTCAGCTACTAGTTTCGTTCTATTCAAACTCTTCAGGCTTGGTTGAGGATGTGCGGTTGCCCCCACGTTATTGTTGACAAGGAGTAGGCTGGCCCATCCAACCTCCTGGGGTTTTACCGGGTCCGCCTGTTGCCTCGCAAGGCTAAAGACCCCTACGCGCAAGCGAATTATTCGAATAAAGTCGAACCATGTGTTTGTGTCCAATGGAAGATAAATATCTAGATGAATTGCCTTCTAACGGTCACTGCACACGGGTCAACATTACTTTGGAATCTTGTGTATCGGTTTCGTGACGAAAATATCCCCGATCGTTGAACAAGAATGATCACACACACTCTTGTCATCATTGACGCGAATAATATGAAAATGGAAATGAAATGAAATGGGTTTTAACGTCCTAAAGGTTCTGCTCCGAGGACATTACAGTGTGCTATGAGGAAAATTTTGCAGGGACAGTTTCGTTACGGCCGATTTTGTCCAGGTGTAGTTCACTAATAAACTGTAATTATATTTAATAGAATGGCGACTTGTATATCCAGTTCATTACTAAATACCTTTGAAATATAAGGGTAACTATTTCACTGGTCTTTTGGTAACAAAACAACAAATGAATACAAAAAATATGTTAATGATCCCTATGATGATCAGTAGCTCAAGTTTAGATATGGAAAACATAAAATAGTAAATAACAATTTAATTACATGCTGAATGGATGAATAATGATTTGGGGCTTTTGATACACATACGTAATAACACATTTAACAGTTTAACCTCCTGTTCATATTTATTCCCCCGTTTATGTTAAATATGTTTAATTCACACTAACTAAAAGTTCAATAACAAAAATAACAGCCAATAAATACTCTAATTATGAAACCTCTGGTAATTTAGCATTCATAATACGAAATTTGAATTTAGTAAGGTACAATAATGCACTAACAAAAATAACAGCCAATAAATACTGTAATTTAGCATTCAGAATACGAAATTTGAATTTAGTAAGTTACAATAATGCACTAACAAAAATAACAGCCAATAAATACTCTAATTATGTAACCTCTGGTAATTTAGCATTCAGAATACGAATTTTGAATTTAGTAAGGTACAATAATGCACTATAATGTATTTTGTCTGATTGAATACCAACTACTTAGGCTAAAGTCAAATTGCTCATGAGTTCTTTTTATATAGATTTTAGTTGAATGTTTCTCTGTAATTCTCGGCACTATGTCATGGTGAACCAGTTTCTCTCTTCTTTATTTCTTTTTGCCGAATCCGAAAACACCCTCATGAAAGTTCTGGACATGACATAAAGCATCTTTGCCCTTATATGGATTCCATGAAACCAAGGAAACGGCTCTTTCAACAGCAAATATACCATAATCCGAATTTAAACTATTTAAACTCATCATCATTTGGTCGAAGAAAGATGGCGTTCCACAACTGAAGACGGCAAACTGAAAGTAGAAAAATAACGTGAATCAAATTTCTTGCTGTAAGTTCTGAATATATTTTTGTAGCTATAAATCATAAGATGTTTTACGACTTTATTTCTGTACAACTGAAGACGGCAAACTGAAAGTAGAAAAGTCACGTGAATCAAATTTTTTGCTGGAAGTTCTGAATATATTTATGTAGCTATGAATCGTATTTCTGTACAACGCGTGACGGCAAACTGACAGTAGAAAAATCACGTGAAGAAATACCCACCCTATTAGGGATAACAGACAGGTGTTTATAGGCGTCCATGATAATACCAGCTGCTCTCAGTCTTAAAACTTCCGTAGTATAGTTTTTCATTACTTCAGTATAAGCACTTAATTCACCTGAAAATAAATTAAGAAAAACCTTTCAAACAGAGGTTACGGATATTGGGAAAAAATAGTTCAACGAACGATAGCCGCGCAAAGCGTGAAAATATATCTGATAATTAAGATGTTCACAAGCTTAAAATAAATCTGTTAAACACTGTAGAATCTATCATGTTCGCAAGGTTTTCGGAAAAACGGGAAGTTGTGTTTTTGGAGGGGGGGGGGGGAGGGCTTTAGAGAGGAAGGTCAGTGGTTTAACGTTCACTCGAAACAAACTAGGTCATTTCGTGACTAACATATGGTTTAATTTTATTTCAATAATTCGCTTGCGCATAGGGGTCTTTAGCAGTGGGGGGAAACCGGAGGACCTGGAGAAATCCACGAGGTTGGACAGGCGGCCCTACTCCTTGTCACGTACAACCGGGGATTCGAAACCACGCCAGTCGACTCAATGACAGACTTTATGATACAGCGCGCGCACGCTAACCATTCAGCCATCCACCCCCCACCCCCCACCCCCAACGATTTAATCAGACTGTATGGAGTATCTTACTTACCGGGTGACTCAACAACTGTTTCAAACATATAAACACGGGAACATGGTAGAGCTCGTAAAGGAGTGTAAGTTAAATCCCGCTGAACACCCACAAATGTGGCGAAAGCTTCAAAGGCATACATCGGGATGGTTTCTATTTCTAATCCAAAATTAGTTACTCCCATTGCAATGTCACACAATGCACCAGGTGCGGAGGCTTTTACAACTGAAAACAAATGTCAAAATTAATTTAAAATATTAATCAAGGAAAACATTAACTGGCTATCTTTTTTAATACATGTAAGGTAGGCGTAGCTGAATTAAAAACTCTCACAATTTCCGGCTCCTCCAATCAATTGGCCGTCTCCTGCTGTGAAACAGTCAATATAATTCGTTTGTGTGGTTTTAATGAATTAGATATTTAACACAATCAAAATTCTGTCCTGAACTCTAGTTTCAGGGCCGAAACTAGCTCAGAGCAACGAGGGGGGCGGGGGGCGGAAGTGTTCTCACGGGTGCTGTAAAATTGACGGACAATGTATATCTATTGTTTGTTTATGGTCGAACTTTTTTTTTACAGGGGTGCCCCCCCCCCCCCCCTTTAGTTATGGGCCTGACTAGTCTCTATCATTCAGACAAATTTTGTACGAATATTAGTCTAGATGGGCTGTCAATATTTGAGAAAAACTAGGTCATTGGCTAGATTATCCGGTCTTTTAAGCTATCGTGTATAAATATAGTCTCGGTCACCCAGAACCTCCAAGTCTTCAACGTATAGAGAGTCTTATATCTGAGAACGTTGTCAATATTTAACGAAAAGTTCCATTGCCCATGCGTAACCGGGAGTTTGGTTTTTAATGTGGTTGATTATCCATTATCTTAGGCCAAGTCAAGTAAGAGTTGCGACTCCTCCCCGCAATAAATCCCATAATTCTTGCATTAATATAAACAAACATGAATCGGACGACGAATTAGGATTAATTAAAAAATCATAGATATGACCCACGAAGAGAGAAATTTTAGAATAAAAGAAATAAGAGTGTTGGATATTAAATTGGCAATGCAATCAAATGGATTTTCTCAAAATGGCATTCTTGAATTAATTTAGCGGGGGTAAATATCTTGTTTTAGGACTAGTTACCCCCCTTAGACTTTGTTTATGATAATGTAAAAGACTGGATAATCTAGCCAATAGTGACCGAGACTCTCAAATGCTGACAACAACGCATCCAGACTAATATTTGTAGAATATTTTTGTTCTGGGTGATAGAGACTAGTATAAATCTTCTTTTTTCAGTCAGAAAGCATAATAAGGGAGATAAATACCCCTAAAACAAGATGTTGATGCCCATGCAATTAATTTAAGAATAGCCATTTCAGAAAAAATATACTTGCATTGTCTGTTCAATATCAAACACTCTTTAATTTGTTATAGTAAAATTTCACCCTTCAAGGACGGTATCTTTGATTTTTATTAATCCTAATTTGCGTCTGTTTATAATAATGCATGGATTGTGTGATTTATTTCAGGAATGGACACAACTCTTTCTTCACTAAAACCAATGTGCTAAAACTGACCAGACCCTCCGTAAGTTGAAGACTAGGCGGTTCTGGGTGTCCGAGACTAGTCCCGAACAAGTTCTGAACAAATGCACACGGACAAACGGAACAGTTGTTCACATTATATTTCAACAACGAGCATACTTACTTGCCATAATTCTTGGTTCTCCAGCAACCTAAAATGAAAGAAGAAATTAATAACTTATATGTTTGAATAAATACAAAATGTTAAAAAGAAATGGCTCTTGTTTGCGATAATACTAGAGTTGAAAGCGGTTGTGAATCTCTATACTTAATAAATATTCATTAGTGATATGAATGTAAGCTGATAAAGTTTGTCATTTAAAGGAGCTAAGTCACCAACTCAATATTTTCCATAATATTCGAAATTAAAAGCACAAATGAGAATTCAATATTGGTCCATTTCAATCCATCAAGATGTTGTTTTGTTGCCGTGAAAATGTGGGATCATAATATCCAATATTTGAGCCACCATAAACGTTTTAAAATATGGTACACGAATCGTGTACCATGTCGTTTCGGACACAAAATCAACGAGAAAAGAAAAACATATCTTAAATTACAAGACGACACTAAATATTGTAATGGCCGATTCACAAATGTTAAAATAATAAAAAAAAAACAGTTTTGAACGGACGAAGCAGGCGTAAACGACTGTCGTTCAGTTTGGACTGTTCAAGTATTTTATCGAACATAACTGATTAGAAATTACAACTTATTAAAAAAAATTGAATATAAATTACTTTATATACACTCATATAACATTAAACATACATTATGCAAGAGCTAAATCTGCCTATTTCAGGTCTTTCTTTAGGTCCGAAATGCTATCTAAATTATTAATTAGACATTAATTAACCTATCCAGGCCATAATCAACTCTAGATGGCAGCGCTAGCCTGCGATCTTTAGTGGATTGTAAGCCGATTTACTGCATAACTTTCCTTCTCTATTAAACGATTAAATGGATAATCGAGACTATGCTGTTTATCGTACTGACTTAAGTAATGATGACAGAGGCTTATGGGAATTTCCGTTGCTTAGTTCTCGGTTCATAGTGGATCAATTTAAATGAAAATTTCACCAAATTGCCTTTACATTATTTAGTTTTTAATTATTATAGTGAGAACTGCCAACTCCTTACCGAATCTCCCATAATGTATCTTTAATATGTGCTTTTAGACCCATTTATGGTTTCAAAAAATAAAGTCACACGCCCTTTAACCAGGTCCCTAAAATTACCATACGAAACTTAGGTTGACTGTCTACAATCTGGTCCGCTCGAGAACAGACACGACGCTGGCTGGCCGACATTTTAATTTCTAAATTGCCGAAAACACTATACGACGAGAAGTTTTAGAATTAATTAGTCTGCTTTCATTTAATAAAATGGAAAATGTTTATGAAAGTGTGAAACTTTCTTACCTTAAATGTGTGAATCGGTTGTACTTTAGGAGCATAATTAAATAAAAGTTGAGCCGCTGCAACATATGATGGTCTAGCATAAAGAGGCATTCCCTGTACAGGATAACTAATTGTAATCATATAATATTCCCAATCAGCGTCAATAGTAGGGGGAATAACCTGGCCGTAGCCGCCACAATTTAGGAGAATAATAAAAGATAGCGTGGTACCGATTAAAATAACTGCGGACGGCATATTAAAATGTTGGTGGTGCCAGTCGTAAACCTAGAAAAGAGAATCACATACATAAATACATGCTTATAAACCTAAAATGCTTAAAGGCGGGGGGGGGGGGGAGACAAATGGGGTTTAACGTCCACTCGACACAAACTAGTCAATGTTATTTCAAAAATTCGCTAGCGCGTAGGGGTCTTTAGCAGTTGAAGGAAACCGGGGGGTCCGGAGAAAACCCACGAGGTTGGAAAGGCGACCTCTTCTCCTTGTCACGTACAAGCTGGGAATCGAAACCATGCCACTTGACCCAATGACAGACCTTATGATCAAATGCGCACGCGTTAACCATTCGGCTACCCTCCCCCACCCCGCTTAAAGGAATCCAGATACATTTAGTAAATCTTCATTTGTGATTTGAAGCTAATGTCTAAAATTGAAACCCCAAAGAAATCTCAAGACGCCGCAATACTGTATTGTATTGAAAAATATATTATTATAAAAATTGTAAATATGCTCTACGATGTTTAAAAGTAGATACCATACATAATAAGTGCTTAACAATAAAAAAGAAACAAAACAAAAACAAAACAAAAAAAAAACCCAAAAAACAATTACTATTCACAGAGCTAAATATTTTAAGTTAATTTCGTTTCAGAAAGTTTGATCGCGGCCTATATTAATTAAAATTTTATACTATGAATAATAAAATATTGACAAATAAAAACAATGACGTGTCATCAACGTTATAAAACTCTTAAGTTTTAATCTAAATGGTCATGACAACCTTTCGATGACGTCTGTTAATTTCGTTTCAGAAAGTTTTATAGCAGCCTATAATATTAATTACCGCCGCTAAACATTTGAGGTGACGTGGTACTAATTAGGCTGGTTTAAACACGATAAATCAACCTACGGATTAAACAAGACACGTGCGGACCTATATTAGTAATACATAAAATAGAAATAAAAACTGTAAACACGTATATTGACCATTTATAAATACAAAAATAAAAACATCCTATGGCCTTAAATGTACTAATTAACCTATGGTCTGGTCATTTAGATGTGACGTCATTGGGAGTGGGGGGGGGGAAGGACACTGATTCTTTTAAAATTTAGCTTTCTGTCTGTTTGTATACACATTACAATGGGCAAATCTACCGTTTTAACATTTTTATATATAATATTTTACATTAATAAATCAATAATTTTACATTGTTTTTTTTTGTTTTTTCGTTTCGTTGAGTTCAGAACATATCATGTGAAGGGTGGCTAATATATCACCACCAATGTTGATATAATTAGTAAAGATTTAAACGATAATTAATAATAATTAGACTGATTAGCCCGAGGTAGATGTCACGTATAATTCAGGTAGCTAATGTTTATGATAGAGATCAACTGAGATTTATAATAGCAAATCTGAAATGATATTTCTTGATCAGGAACTGTTCCCTAAGCGCTTCTCATCTTCTTTTTGTTGGGGGTGACCCTCTTCAAAAAAAAAAAAAAAAAAAAAAAAAGCCTTAGACTCTCTGCCGATGAAAGTAAGATTGACATGATTGTTCCTTGGACAATTGCGCATTCTTGTCTTCTTAAAGATACATTATGGAAGATTAGATAGAACTGGCAGTTCTCACTATAATAGTTAATCAAATTGCTTCACTCTAAGTGGAGAAAACCTCATTTTAAAATTATTGAAGCCTCTATTGCCATTGTTACTTTTGTCACGATCATAAACAAAGTCTCGATTATCCATTTTTGTGTTTAATCAACAACGGACGTTGAACAGCAGATCGGATTCAAATCCAATGAAATTCAGACACATAAGTTGGCACCTTGAGTTGATTATGGTTTTTTCATGTTATTAAATGTCTAATTAATAGTTTATTTAACATTTCAAACCCAAAGAAAGACCTGCAATAAGCAAATTTACCTCTTGCATAATGCATGTTTAAATACTGAAATCACGGAGTTTGGAAAGTGAACTTCAGATAAAACAAAATGATAATAAATCGATCAAGAGCTTATGGTATCTGAACCGAAAAGTTACCCCCACCCCACCGAATTCTTATAAAATAAACAGTGTTAGCGAATACGACACAAAAATACAGAACATATAATGTTTGGTAATTCGCGAGCTACATTTATACAAAAGAAAAACCCATGAAATTGTTCTAAACGATACGAATAGAAATGAAATGAAATGAGGTTTAACGTCCTACTGTTCTGCTCCTAACCTGGGCTAATGAAGACGGGCATACGCCATACAGTGTGCTATGAGGGAAATTTTGCCCGGACAGCGGCACTACGGCCTACTCTTATATCGAATTCCAACTGCCAAGGGATCTTTTACGTGCACGCCAATGTGTACACGGGACCTCGGTTTTTCCTCCCATCCGAACGACTAGACAGCTTTCCTTGTCAGCCCCTCCGTCCTGCATCACTGAAAAGGGAGAACCACGCCGGAAAATCTGGATGAACTTTCTCGGCCAATGCAGGGATCGAACACCCGACCTCCAGGCTAGTGAGCTAGCGTCTTACCAACTTAGCCACGTGATCCCCGATACGAATAGAGGCTTCAGAAGAGTTGCACAATAAAACATAGTCAAACAAATAAGAACGCATTATATGAAATAGCAACCGACCATGACGTCATCTCAGCATCTTGGATTATGAGATTTAAGTCCGCCGATGACGAATTTTCCAAAGCACAAGTTTTATTTTGAGACCGCTCGGAATGGCGGAGCATTTGACATTTTTCAAAGAGCGTCGCCGTAAGAATAACAAGAACGACATTACGGAGTACACGGAACAGGTTTCCTGTTCAATGATGATATACAATTAAATACACAAAAAAGACATTTTTCAAAGAGCGTCGCCGTAAGAGGGGGGGGGGGTCTATAGGCTTCTGCCTGTTCTCCAATCCAGTTTCTGTGATAAATATTGTTTAGAAAAAAAAAAGATGAACAAGAGCGACATTACCGAGTACACGGAACCTTTTTCTGGCTCAAATATGATATACAATTAAACATACATTATGCAAGAGCTAAATCTGCCTATTGCAGGTATTTCTTTAGGCCTGAAATGTTATCTAAATTATTAATTAGACATTTATTAAATCCACTCTCGATGACATCGAATACTTGAGATTTTAACTAGATTAGAACGGTTCGCCATCTAAAAATTTAATTTAAAAATAGGAAAGTGAGACGAAGTCTCGAATATACCAGTACCCTGGTTACACTATGCAGAATGAAGTAATTGAATGAAATTTTCAATATTTCCATTTTACGTTATCTATTTTAGTGCTATTATAGCAAGAACGGTCAGCACTTTATCCAAATCTTACATAATGTATCTTTAAATACACAAATAGGAGTTAGTCCATTCTGTCTACTGATTAAAATGAAATAATCATACTAGAATAATCTACAGAACAGAAAATTAAGATAATATCGTGAGGCTGGTCGTAGCTTGTAATTATATTCAAAAAGTATTCATTTCCGAAAACTATCCATTTGAACAAAGATACTAAAGTTCAAGAAAAAAGGCACGTCGCTGACGCAGTTTTGACAAATTAATGGAGGGAATGTCATTAGTATTTTAAAACGATTTAATATATTTTATCAAATTATCTTTCTTTTTTTTCGTCTTTTGATTAATGCCAATTCTCTTTGAAATTAAAATATTTTCTATGAGATATTGCAAATGATGCTACAGAATAATATTAGATAACTGTAATATAACTGACTATAAAAACTGCCTTCCTACCGTAATTAATATACAGGTATCTGCTAATCCTTTTAAAGGTAAATCGGCTAATGAATAAATGAAAATGAAATGAAATGGGGTTTAACGTCCTACTGGTTAGTCAATAAATAAAATAATGAATTTAATATAACTTCTTACCAATCACACAGATCGCGAATAGTAGACGCCCCTGTTTTATATGTGTATTAAAGGGTTCGCTACCTTAATGGTAAAAGTCCTATAAATCTGTCAGTAATTAAAATAATCAATTACTTATACTTAAGTAACCTTATGGACATTAACACGCGAATCGTTTTACGTTTAGAAATTACGTAACGGTAATAAGCTCGTTAAGCCGAAATATACCGGAAATATACCGGGAATACTGATATTTGTAGATTGTAAAGATTCGAAGTATTGCAAATTACACTAACACTCGAATTTAACTTGAAAAATTATAATGCATTTCCTCTCATCCCCTTTGTGCTGTCGAATTTTTTTCTATTACCATTATGATGCTGTTTGTGCGCATTTGACTGTGCCCCCTATTAATATCAGTTACGGTATTTTTTTTAAAAAATGGCGTGTTGCCATCAACTTCCTTTAACCATACGTGCACACCAGTCCTGGTTTAGTCCTCGATAATTTTCTATTAGAAATTCCTTACCTGTTAGATCAAGGTGCGAAAAATCTGTGACGACGATGAAAGGCAAATCGCGAATTTAAGCATTCAATGATGTGACCTTTTTGACACAAACCAACCCGTCAAACGATTGATGTATGAGTTTTTCCTGATTTGTATATTACCGTGGGCATAATCTAACACTTTTATTATTCACTTATCGACACATGTTCTTTAATAAACCTGTGTAATTTTTCTTCAGGTCATTCATTTGGCTGAAGATTACCAATAATCCGTATAATCCAGTATGTCTGCATACAAGCTATTATTATGAACAACTATTTCTGTCTTACCGAATCGCCCCAGACACGGTTAACCTAGGTCGACTAGTCTAAAGGTTCAAATCATGATTTGGTTTTAACATTTCAGGTAAATTAATTTCTGTTCTGACATAAGGATTTCCGGCGGCGTGACATTTTTTCTATACTATATATATATTTCTTATTAGCTTAAAGTAGCTTCCGGTTTCCTCCCACTGCTAAAGATCCCTGCGCGCAAGCGAATTATTAAAATAAAATTGAACCATGTGTTAGTCCCGAAATGACCTAGTTTGTGTCGAGTGGACGTTAAACCTCATTTCCCTCTCCCTTAAAGTAGCTAATTCTCTAATTCAATATCACCCAAAGTCTTCGACATTGAAAACACGAATTATTTGTCAATTTAAATCAACATTGATGTTGTTATCGTATCGTGAAAAGATGGGCTTCTGATATCCAATATTTAAGACAAAATAAACATTTTACCATTGGTACACGAATCGTGTAACATAATGCGTTTCAGCGCCATTTGTAATAAGGGACTTGAAGAACGGGGCTAGACATATTCCACAAGTCATGTCAAACGGCGAGGCCATATTCTAACAGTGTATACTGGAATAACCAGACGCTAGAGATTGCCATTCGATTGACACTTCTGAAAACAATTGAATGCAAATCAGTTTATATACATTCATATTACCTTCGTCCCGTCTTCAATTAGCCCAGGTTAGGTGCAGAAGAGTAGGACGTTAAACCCCATTTCATTTCATTTCATATTACCTTCGTGGGTTTTCTCCGGGTCCTCCGGTTTCTTACCACTGCTAAAGACACCTACGCGCAAGCAAATTATGGAAATAAAATTGAACCATATGTTAGTCCCGAAATGACCTAGTTTGTGTCGAGTGGACGTTAAACCCATCTCTCTCTCTCTCTCTCTCTCTCTCTCAAATTCATATTTTATTTTATGCGTTGCGACTCATTTGTGTCAATTTCTAGGTCCCAAATAATAGCGATTTAGCTCCTTTAACATCGTTTTTTTTTGCATGTTTATTAATATTTACTAGACATGTGTATGTAATTTAAGCTAGCTCATTATTAAAAAAAAAACATTTAAAGTAGAGCAATTACTAATATTAAATTATATAATTAAGGATGGAATAAAAATGACGTATTACGTAAAATTTAAAAATATGGTTAGTTACATATACATCAAAGTTACGCCCATTTGTTAACGATTACCGATCAATATTAAACTGTTTGGGTTTTTTACATATTCTCCGTGACGTTAATTCTTAAAAGGGGCAATGAACTTCAATAAATCCAATAATTTGACATAATCTGAATGGATGGAAACAGACGAATGAATAAATACATATGTATTTCCAACATAAGAATTAATATGAAATAATACACATCTTCGTCAGAGAACAAATATTATAATAATGCAAAAGAGATATATTTTGCTCCATGGATGTCATAGGGAGAGAGAGAGAGAGAGTAATGGGGTTTAACGTCCACTCGACACAAACTAGGTCAATTCTGGAATAACACCTGGTTCAATTTTATTTAAATAATTTGCATGCACGTAGGGATCTTTAGCAGTGGGAGGAAACCCAAGGACCCGGAGAAAACCCACGAGGTTGGACAGGCGACCCTACTCCTTGTCACGTACAACCGGGGATTCGAAAGCACGGCAGTTGACTCAATCACAGACCTTACGATACGATGTCATAGGAGGGTTGTGTGCATGAAACTGGGATTGTGGCTTGTTAGATCCCATATATGTTATCAAGAAACCAATCTGATTAAAATACAGATCTATATCTCGTTTCGTTTTCTTTTATACTTTCTGTGGCCTACACTGCATGAAGATCTGAACAGTTGTATTGGGAGGTCAATCAGCGTTGACGTTTCTAGTGGTTTACCCACAGTTCCGTGCATCGCACGCCAAAAGAAGTCGCCGAAACAGATGGTTTCACTGGTTAATCCCTCACGCTATCGACCAGATCCTAGTATAGTACAAACAAATAAAACGAAATTTTGAAATATAAAAAACCCGAAACGAAATAGGATCTGTGTTTTAATCAGATTGTCAAGTAACGAAGTGTGTTGACACTCTTTCGAAGATTAAATAAAAACAAATTGAGGCTGATGTCCTAAATCGCCAAAAAGAAAGATGTCACTCATTAAATACTTGCATATTTATTTATGGATCAGGGAATGGTCCACAAGCGTTACTCATCTTGTTTTACCTCGGGCGACGCTCTTCCAAAAAAGCCTAAGGCTCCACTAATTCAAGTACGATCGACATAAAACTTGGCGTACTCGATTGAAGTACGTCAATTTTTGATATTCAAGGATGGCTAGATCCATTTGTTAAGGCCAGCTCTATTTTTGCCATGGTCGCCTAGATGTAAATAAGGTTAGGGCACGTGATTGTAGGTTAGGATAAGCATTAGGGCTAGGTTCAGGGTTAGGTTTAAGTATTTGGGGGAGAGATTGGGTCTCCACATAAGCACTGACCTAGGCTGATGAAAATTCAGTTCGTAATATTTCCTGTTAGGGTTAGCTATAGGGTTAGACCCAGGGTTAGAGTTAGGTTTGGGATTAGCGCTAGCCCTGTTTACATCTCGTGATCTATGACTAAAAATTGAGCTGGCCTTATCATTTAGCATTAACTATTCCAGGATGGCTGTGATGACGTCACACTCTCTTCCTCGCCCATAATAGTACGTTCACACTAATATCTAAACCCGAAAAACCATTATAAAATGTATTTAAAATTTTATAAAAAATAAAATGCGGTTTAATGTCCCACTGGTCTCCCCAGACTTGGCTAATGAAGACAACAGTCAAACAGTGTGCTATGAGGGAAATTTTGCCCGGGCAGCGGTACTATGGTATACTCTGCCAAGGGATCTTTTACGTACACACCAACATATACAAGGGACATCGATTTTTCGTCCCATCCGAACGACTAGACAGCTGCCCGTGTCAGGCTTTCTATTGTGCATTGTTTTTATAAAGCATCGACCAATCACATTGCTAATTACCACCCTGCGTAACTGGTGCTGAAAATGCTCATGATTGAAATTAGTCAAAGTATTGATCTAATGAAACCATATACAAAGTTTCACCACTCTCACTCCTTTCGAATCGCAGTTCCAAAACATCAATAGATCAACTCGCTGATCTCTGCTTAAACTACACATCTACTGCACCAAGTCTGAAATTTCTACCCCTTTAACTTTTTTTTCAGTGTCGCTTACAACCGGGGAATCGAAACCACTCAATGACAGACCTTATGATGCAGCACGCACACGCTAACCATTCGGCCACCTAACCCCGCCTCACTGATAGTGAAAATAGTTCTCCTGAGTAACAGAGAAAGTTAAGAATCATCGAATCATAACTGGTAGCCTGATAGGTTTATTTCCAAAATACAGTTTTTATGTCCAACCTGGTTTATAATTATAATGTTAGTCACCCTGTTTAAAACCTCTGATTGAAGGGATATTTATATTTATATTGTCTGATCAAACTGTCCCTTTGAAATCTAAACAAAACTGGACGTGGCTAGAATTGCCTGCCTCCCTTTTGCCATAGGAATTAACACTCATACATTTACACATTGTCACCAAATATCAAAAGCTCACAAGAATCAGGTTTTATACACCTTGAGTGGTTTTATGTCGGGGATTATTATTTCTAATCCTGCTAGAGGTTTCACATAATACGTCAAAAATGTTCTAGCAACATAGCCTAACAATGCCATCATCCTCAGCGGCCCAGATATACATGCGCAGTAAAGATTTTCTAATTAAGACACCGTTTCGTGTACAATTGAACGTGCGTACACGCTGGTCAATTGATGGACAGAGATCAGACCAGTGGCGGCGCCAGCCGTCATTGATTGGAGGGGCAAAGCTGGGGCAAAGTCCAAGGTTAAGGGGGCAAAGGCACGATCTTCAACTAGGGGTAGGAGGCCTCCCCCAGAAAATTTTGAAAAACAGGTTGCCGGAAATGCAGCCTGGCAGTATTTCAGGCACTGATCGATGAGGTAAAGTGTCAAACGAACGGACTTGCGAATCACGACGAAGCCCACTCACGAGCGTCAAAGTAGGGAGTCCTCCCCCAGAAAATTTTGAAAAATAGACTGCCGGAAATGCTGTTATACAGTATTCTGTCAGGCACCGATCGTCGAGATAAATATATCTGCCCAGATACCGTTCGTCGCCTGATCACAAGTTTATCCGACTAGAGAACAAAATGTCAAACGAACGGACTTGCGAACCTCAACGAATTCCCCTTGTGAGCGCCAAAGTAGCGAGTCCATTGGGGACCTCGCCAAGAAAATTTTGAAAAATAGACTGTCGGAAATGCTCTACCGTTCGTCGCCTGATCACTAGTTTATCCGACTAGAGAACAAAATGTCAAACGAACGGACTTGCAAATCTCAACGAATTCCCCTTGTGAGCGCCAAAGTAGCGAGTCCATAGGGGACCTCGCCAAGAAAATTTTGAAAAATAGACTGTCGGAAATGCTCTACAATATGCAAGTTTATGACTGAGTGGGGATGTGGGATTTATTCACCGTAGAAGGTATTGATTACCGAAACGTATCGCAAATACTTTTTTTTATTTTCTAAAATTATTGGGGGGGGGGGGCAAACAGAGGGCAGACCAGATTAGCTTTAGCTTTAGATCATAAGGTCTGGCATTGGGTCAAATGGTTTCGATTCCCAGTTTAAAC